CAGACAGCCGAGACAGCCCACCTGCAGACAGCCAAGAATCATTAATCAGATCTCAGTTACTGTTCCCTGTCATATTTTCATTAATTGTTCCTTCTCTGATGGATCATTCCCATTAGCATGCAAATATGCTCTGACGATTCCCACCTTAATAAAAAATGTCAAAAAACTCCCAAGAGCCCACTTCCCCCACCAGCTGCCAGCCTACTTCTGTGTTCCCCTTTAGAGAAAAACTCCTCCAAATAGTTGCCTTTCCTCATTGCTTCCATTTGTTCTTCCCCTACATCTCTGAAGTTCTCTCCAGTCAGGCTTTCCTCCCATCATGCCACTTCAGCAGTTCTTATCCAGGTCACCAGTGACCTCCAGAAGGCAGATTCCAATCACCAGTGCTAGTTCTTCCCGTTGTTCTGACAGTTGGACAAAGTTGATCCTTCCTTTCCTGAGACTGTCCTTCTTCCCTCAGAGTTTTTCTCTATTTGCATGCTAACGGGAATGATCCATTAGAGAAGGAACTGTTAGTGAAGATATGACAGGGACAGTTGCTGGGGTCTGATGAATGGCTAGATGGGCTGTTCTGGGCTGGCTGGAGGTGAGCTGAAGATGCACTCGTAGACAGGTGGTAGAAATGTGGTCTGTGACTGTGTGGATGCCCTCTCTCTGTTTTCCACGCTTTTCCAGTCTTCTTGGCTGATCCCTCATCTTAAATCCTAAATGTTGAGTCCTCATCTCTATCTACGTTCATTTCCTAGTGATCGTATCTAGTCATCCCAAATGTATCTCTAGCCCAGACCCCTCCTTCAACTCCGGGCTCATGCATCTACCTGCGTCAGTACTTCCTTTAAGTCCAACAGGCATTTGGATTTTCTCTGCTGGACCTACTTGACCCACTCTTTCCCATCTCAATAAATGACAGCGTTTCTCTTCTAGTTATTGAATCCAAAATCCTTGGCGCAGTCCTTGTCTCCTCCTTTCCTAACACCCTTCATCCAATCCATGAGAAAAATCTGTTGGCATGGCCTTTGAAATGTGTCCAGAGTATGACCTCTTCTCACGCCCTCAGCTGCTACCACGCTGGCCTTCACGTTCATCTTCTCACAACCTGGATTGTCGTAAGAGCCTCCTAACCAGGTCCCCTGCTCCTCTCCTGGCCACCACAGACCGTTCACATCAAAGTCAGTGTCAGCCTCCTTTAAACATGAACGTCAAGTCACGCTGCTCCTCTGCTGAGACCCCCGCAGGATCAAATCCAGGTCCTGTGCTGGCCCACAAGGCCCTGTGGGGTCTGCTGCCCCCACTCCCTTGGCCCCTCTGAGCGCATTCCTTCCTGCAGTCTTCCTCGCTGTTCTCCAGCCACACTGGCCTCCTTGCTGATATCCGCTTGTGCCAGGCACACACCCACCTCAGGGACTTCTTCGCTAGTCCCCAGATACCTGTGTTTCTTGCTTCCCTTCGTTATTCGGGTTTGTGCTCAGAGGTCACCTCATCAGTGAGGCTGCCCTGATCACCTTACTGTCAACTGCACCCCACCTCCTTGCAAGCCTGGCTGCTTCTGGCCTCCTGACCCTTTGTAAGTTTTCTCCACAGCTCTTATCACAATCTGACACACATATTTGCTTCTTTCTGTATGTGTTTTCTGTCTCCCTAAAGTTGCGAGGACTCTCTTTTCTTTGCTGCCCCTTCCCTAGCACATGCAGGAGTGGCTGACATGTGATAGGCACTCAAAAATAACCAAATGAATTAATGGCCAAATGAATCCCACGCATAGGTTATTAAATGCATTATCATTTTTGAAGTTTGATGTACAAGATTTCATGTGAGCCTCTAAACAGTCTGGTGATTTAGGTAAGGTAAAACCCCGTGTTTTAGATGAGGAAGCTGAGGCCCATAGAGCGAACTGATTGCCAGGTACACGTGGCTGAGCAGTGGGGGCTCCTGGGACTTGTAGTTCTGATCTCAGTTTCTGCCCTGCACCTTCAGCTACCCCTTGTGCCTCATGTTATGTTAGTGTAGGCCTCAGGGCATTCATTGCTGTTTATTTTTCCTTACAGTATGGATGAGAAAATGCTATATCTAGCTTTGGGGGCTGTGAAGAACATCTCCCTAAACATCTCTATCTCCAACCTCGGGGATGATGCCTATGACGCCAACGTGTCCTTCAACGTGTCCCGGGAGCTCTTCTTCATTAACATGTGGCAGAAGGTAAGGAGGGCATCCCTGTAAAGAGCGGTCGTTCTGTCCCGTGCGCTTTCCGACTTTCATCATAGCCTGGAATATGCAATGGTCCTACAAGCGCCAGTCCTTTCTGTGAACTATCATTTTGAATGATTAGAACTTTTTCTTCCTGGACTTAGAAAATATGTTGGTACGGCCAAAGAAGCCGCCGTAAATACTCATAGATTGCCGGAGAAGTGTCTGTATTTACACAGTCTCCCACCCCTTCTCTTGTCAAATCTTCTCCCTATGGTTTTATGTCTGGCCCCTTCTTGGAGATGGTACAGTTGCTGTCTCCAGCATACACGTGTTCTAGAGAATCCCACTTTTAGGCCTTTAGTTTGAAGGTAAGGGTAGATCACTGCTTGTCGTGCTGGTTATCATGGATGGAGTATTTGATGTTTCCACTAGAGAGTCACTGCTTTGCCCTGTGCTTTGG